CACACACACACACACACACACACACACACACACACACACACACACACACACACACACACAACGATTACTCACCCCCCCCGATCCCTTGATTACTTGCCCAGCATGCCATTGTGGCCTTGATCTGCCACTCTTGAATAATTGTGCCGTGAATGTTTCCAGGAAGCTGTCATAGAAAGTATGTGTCTCTACTGCGTGGACTATCCCCGGTGCCATCATCCGGCACATTCTCTCTTAGCGTGTCCCACATGCGGTGTTGGTCATACACCTACTGCAGCCGCAGTCGGAATTCCTTCTTCCTTGCCTGACGAAGGACGGGCACAGCAGCCTGAGGAGGAAAATAGATTACCATATGAACCACCTACAGAGCGCTGTACTGATAGGTTGTCTCCACCAGGGCGAGTGTTGCAGACCACATCCTGCAGCAGCTGAACGCCCTTGCTTTGGATCAATCTCCCCCGTCGTCGTCTACGCATAGAGAGGGAATAAATACTGAGGAAACCCAAGAAACTTGCTCCATGCCGCTTTGTGATGACCCACCGGAGATCAGCTACCATGTGGTTTGCATGTCTTATGCCGTGAGGATTATGAAGGGATAGCCCGGGCGAGCTTTTGTCTTCATACGTATGATGACAGTCTATACTGCACTGATGTACGGCACCCTGAGATGTCATGTCCAATTTGTAGATAGGGGCTGGAATGGCAATGCCTCTACAATTGCGGTCGGCGTGCCTCTGTGTTCCTAGCATGTGGGACCACGTAGCCTGTGACATCTGTCTACGCTGTGCCATTCGATGCAGTAACTGTGACTGTGAGAACTGGATGCGGTGCTTCCACAGGCCACACCCAAACCGGTCCTGCCTGGTCTGTAGAGGTGGCCACTTAACATAGGCAACAACTGCTCCTCAAATCTTATGCAACCCACACACTGACTGGCCTCATGTGCCATTCTAGAGTGGTCTGCCCCAGCGGTCACTTTTAGAACCCTGTCAGAACTCCACCTCTCATTTCCTTCCTCCCTCCTCTTTTGTATGGCTAGTAATGCATACGAATGAGCGTCATTACGAGAAGGGACAAAATGTAAGTTGAAGATCTGAGAAGAAATGAACAGGAATACACCTCCGCCTTTGCTTTGCCTCCTTTCATAGTGTGCAAGTGGGTCGTTATGGCACACAGGGCTGTGGGCAGCTCTCGCTCAACCACAATCAACGTTGCCAGCCTTGTGCATGAGAGGCACGGTAAAGGGGGAGCTGCAAGAACAAATGAATGGGGTACCATGGAGAAAGCAAATGTGAACACATTCAAGAAAGGGTTTTACGTCCTTCTATTGTACTTCATGTTGCTTGCTATAGATGTGAAACTGTTATGGTCCTGACCAATTTCGAGATACACATCCATCAGATAGTACAATGCCGTCCAATTGGAGAATGAAATGAATGAACTTGAGAGGAGAGAGAGGATTAGAAGAAGACGAAGAAGTAAGAAAGAAGAAGAAGATGATGTACACCAGCATAGACAAATGACAAGGCTCGTCTTCTTCGCCCAACAATCTCCTCCTCCTTATCTCTCCCCCTTCTCTTATTCATACAAGAAATAATAATCCAATGTTGAATGGCTGATCCAGAATCCATGTCCGAGTTCCTCTTCTACTGCAGGTTTCACTTGAGGTCCACCATAGCCATGGCCGCCTCCCCTACTCTTCACTCTCATAGGCCGAGGCTATGGCGGACTACTAGGCCTTGCCCAGATGCCCAAAGGACAACCCAAAGCAGCTATGGCTTCTCTAGCTCAGGCCGCCATGCCCAACCCTGCCTTGAAGCTTCTTGGTGTGGCTCTCCCCAGTTGGGGACTCCCTGCTGCAGCGTCCACCAAGGTGATGAAGATGGCTGCCACCATAACCAGGTAGGTACCCCTGGCGCTCCTCCCCCTTCCTTCCTTCTTCCTCCCTCGTGTCCTTCTCCTTCCTCCCCAACAGCGCTGCTCCAGCATAGCGCTGCTCCAACCAGCACTCCACAAGTGTGTCGCCAAACTTGCACACCGAAAAAGAGGCCGGGCTCTTCGCCCGGCTGGGAGATATAGCGGCCTGCTTGCCTCTTCGGGCGGTGACTTCCAGGCCGCTCAGCCTTCCAAGCAACCGGTGGCTCCTCCCTTTCGGAGGGAAACATCATTGCAGACTCTGATATTGCCCATACAGGCCCTAGACCCGGACTGGTTGGACTGGTATCCACCTAGACCTAACCTACAACTACTGGGCCTCTAAAAATGCCACTTTTGTCTTCTTCTGCTCGGCCTCCAGTATCCGCACATCTACCCCTTCAGGGTGCGGTACCGGCCTACCCGCTACTTGAGTGTTTTTCCTGCTGCAATCCCTCAATGTCACGGCCACAGGTAAGTACTGGCCCTGAGGGCCCAATGAACGAGCAAGTGCCCTTGCGGGCCACACACACACTCAAGCCAACCAGCACTCAGACAGGCATGGCCACACACACACTCAAGCCAACCAGCACTCAGACAGGCACGGCCACACACACACTCAAGCCAACCAGCACTCAGACAGACATGCAGTCCAACAAGCGTGCACACACAGACGTAGTAGCAAGCGGGAAACTCAGCAGGGCATTCAGTCTATGGGCAAAACCCATAAATCAGTTGTGTTTCAGTCCATGTTTGGACGGGTCATCACACTACTCCCCCTTCAAGAGCGAGGTCCCTTCGATCGAGTAACTCATTCCGAGTCCTCGACAAACACATCGTAAGCAAGCAAGGCAAAGAGATTTCTAGAGTACTCTGTTGCAGTGAGTCTTGCAGAGATCTTAGTTACAGCGTTAGTGGTGATTTGTCGCTTGTAGGCTTTGACAACGCACGGTGCGCTGCGTAGCAGTTCCTGTTTGGAAATCCAATACAGATCGTCTAATGGGTGATACATGAAGCGAACCTGGTACTGTCTGTTGCGTCCCTTCTCTACGTGCTGTTTGATTTCGTCTATCTCATGCCGCCTTTGATCGCACGAGGGATCATGTCTTCGCGATAGTCGAACGTCTTAGCATCACGGTGGAGGTACAATTTCGATGCATGGAACGCGGGGTATGTGTGCAGATGGGCTGGCACATCAACTACATACGAAGGGCCAAACACATCCAAAACTTCCCATGGTCCGTAATAGAGTGGGAGAAGTTTGCGAGAGACCCCTTCTTCTTCTGAGAATTCTGACATCTTGACCCAGACATAGCTTCCTACCTGAATGTCCGACGGTCAGCGCCCCTTGTTCGCGGGCATGGCATGTTGTCGCTTGGTCATGGCTGCAATGGCAACCTTGAGCAAGCGATCATACTTGGCCCTAAAGCCAGGCCTGCCGGGTGTTAAGCCAGCCGGCTGCTCAGGGAATAGGTAGGAGAGCAGGTTACGGATCTGCCAACCGAGATGCAGCGTGTTAGGTGCCATGCCGGTGGCAGAATGGATGGAGTTGTTGTACAACCCCCTAACGAAATACAACTCTTCATCCCATGTTTCGTGATCCGGGATAATCAAAGCACGGAGAAGTTGGAATACAGTCTGGTTGATTTCTTCAGCCAAACCGTTGGCTTCAGGGTGTCGGCCAGATGTCATACACAGCCTGATCCCCAGATGAGATGTGAAGTCTTCCATTCAATACTAATGAAGCGTGGGTCCCGATCACTTACGAGAGTCTTCGGGGTCCCGAACTGCAGAATGTACTTCTGTTGGAACTCATGAATCACTAATTATGTTGGGGCGTGCGGCGGCAAAGGGATCAGATTGAGAAACTTAGAGAACCGGTCAACAATCACCATGACTTGTAAGTAGCCGTTCTTACTCACCTTTCCCATGTCGGTGAAGTCGATGGAGACGGACTCCCCGAGACCATCGGGGATGGGAAGGGGTGTGAGTAGCCCCATGGGCTTTTGACTGCACGGTTTGATTCGTTGACAGACTTGACACTCAGCCACAAATTTTTCAGCAGTCCCTTTTATGCCAGGCCGCAACAGATTTGCGTACGTCTTTGCCATGCCGAAGTGTCCACTCCGACCATGAGCCAAATCCAGAAAATGCGTGCGGAGAGGCTCATGGTTGGGCACACACAAGCGGTCGTGGTTCCCGTAGCGACGAAAAATCAGTCCTCCATATTCGTGAAAATCAGGCTAACTACTAGGATCAGCCCGCAGCCGCTCAAGGATGGGACTAAGTTCCGCATCCTTGGCTGTCTGCTCTACGAGCTCCTCCTTCAGTTTCTTTCGCGAGACAATGCGTCAGCGACTCAATTATAACAGCCCATTTTGTGTCTCAACTCAAAGTCAAAGATGTCAATTTCATGGAACCAGCGAATTAACGTGGGGGACAGGGTAGTTTTCTCTTGATCCACTTCAGGGTCTCATGATCTGAGAACACTTTGAAGTGGAGTCCCAAAAGATAGTGCTTCCAATCGTCCAAAGCCATACGCAAAGCATAGAGCTCGCGCATGTCGGTGGAAGTGGCTACCTTTACGTTGGGCATGCGTGTGCTGTAGAATTCGAGCGGCCGCAAGTCATCGTCATCATCTTGCTGCAGCA